AGCATCAGTCCGGTTCCTTTTCCACCGGCAAGTCAGGAAACATAATTACATCATAGAATACTCTCACGCTTCGTTCCGTCTGGCCGAAGGAACCCTGATCAGCATTGATTACTCCAACGTCGGGGAGGATTGACTGTCAGCTTGCCTTGCTTCCATCTTTCCTCTCAGGACTACTAAAGGAGCCTGTCAGATACAACATGAATAGCAAGAAAGGACTGAGAAGCTGTGGCTGCTGCCAACTCAGTCTAAACCCTAAACCCCGCTGCTGATCCTCATCACCTGAATAGAAATTGTGTCGTTCTAGCTGTATTTTGAGGCAACTTTCAGTCCTGGTGCAGTGATTATGACCTGGCTTTCAGGTTCGGTGAAGATGGTAGGCCGACATTGCAGTACTCACTGCACACAGCTGATGCTCCACATGAATCCATTTAACACATGGTTTGTCATTTGCCTTATGGTGTGCAGTTTGACAGAGTTATCTCTGAGACCTACTGCTGTGGACCACGGACGGAGTATGGCGTCCGAATCTCGACAGGTTGACACGGAGCTCTCCTCTCACTCACTTTCTTTTTCTCTGTTGTCTTCTTCTTCATCGTTGTCCTCGCCTCTCTTCTTTTTTTTTTTTTTTTTTTTTGTGAAGCATTCGTCTGTTTACCACCTTTTTCGTGCAGTTTCGATTGAGCGTTTTTTGCAGCAGAATTGAACGCAATTTGCGATATGAAAAACTGTCATTCAATGAGATATGCAGTTGATGCTCTAGATCCCTGAGTTTCTGCAGACGCTGTTCAATAGTTTTTCCTTGCTCTTTTTTTTTCTTTTTTTTTTTTCTTTTTTTTTTTCTTTTTTTTTTTTTTCGGCGAGTGCGATTGGATTGCGAGAATTGAGCCCTCACGGGGCCCTTACAGACATTCAAGTGTTCTGGGCTGTGGCCCCCAGCAAGCATTGTGCCCGCCCTAAGTGAAGGAGGGCCTGAATATCCATGTGAGGCCTTCTATCAACATTTTTCCATATGTGGGGTATCAGGCAGTTGCAGCACGCCAGTTGGTCTCAAAGCAACGTGAGCCTTTCCTGGCTCCTCCAGAAGCAACAGCTGCGCTGCACAGTTGAGCCCAGGGCCCCGGTTGGTTGCACCCTGGGCACACACAGTGGGAGGCCGACACATCACACATTGGCTGGACGAATGAGAAAGCAGCATTGCCGGCACACAACACCCACGAGCCAATGAGAATGAGGCAAACACATAGAGCCTGGACGGCTGCCTGGACGTGCCCAACCAAAAACCACCCAGGCCCGTAACAGCGCAGGTGGGTCTGGGCGCAGCCCGACTGGAAGCTACTGGAAACTTCCCAGGACGGGCCCACGCAGCCAGACACAGGGCCACACTTTCCATAAACGAAAGTGTGTTGGCCAGGCAGCCTCATTCTGGCCTGAGCAGGCAATGTGACCACGCTCTTGCTGCACCATGTGAAACTGCTCTATGCTGCCAGGCCAGGGCGCACGTGGGCGCAAGAGGTGAGAGGGCACTGCGGTGGCAGTGGGTGCACGGCGGGCATAGCCGGGCCGAGCGTGTGGGTGCAGGTGACGGCGATGGTGGTCTTTGGGTAGGAGGCGCATGCAGAGGGGAGTCAAGGTGGGATGAGGGGAAGAGAGAGAACGTACCTGGTGTATGCTGGCGGTCGGCATGGGTGATGACGTCACGTACATTTGTCTTAAAACTTCGATGTGATACAGTCGCATGAACGTAGATAGGATAGATAGGCTGAGTAATGTAGGCTGGGCGCCAGACAGTAGGAGCGGCATTGGATACAGTGTTGGTGTGACCAGAGAGCGTCGGCATTGGCACTTGAGTTCATTTTAGTGCTCTTATTTGGATGGTATTTGGTGCATTGCGCTCTCTGCTTCGTACATGACTATCTGCACTACTTTGTGGTTTTGCAACTTGGATTTCCGTCTATGGCTACCGCTCATATTCCTTGCAGGATTCTGTTCATCTGAATCTCCCTAAATAAGTGATGGTGTTTTTTTTTCTTTTTTCTTTTGGGAGTTTGCCTTGAGGGCATCGTTGAAAAATTCGGGCTTTCTCTGCTGTTGTCTTTTCAGGTGGTGGAGTCATGGTCAGAATCAAAGCCATGGATCAATGAGACGGATAAACAGCCGGTAGGGAACCTCCGTGCTTTCTGTGCAGCCTCCCCTCCCCTCGTCCTTTTCTCCCCCCCTCCCCCCCCCCCCCCCCCCTCTCTCTTCCCCCCCCCCCCCCCCCCCCCCCCCCCCCCCCCCCCCCCCCCCCTCCCCCCCCCCCCCCCTTTCCCCCCTTCCTTTTCCTTCTCCCCTCCCCTCTCCTCCCCTCCCCTCCTCCTCTTCTCCCCCGTTTCCTTCCTTGGCACTGGACTTAACAATGAATTAGGGATTTTGAAGGGATTTGTCTTTGCCCTCTATGCGTTCCGGAATCTTTTACCTGAGGCTTTCCTATACAAAATTTTAGTTGTGACTGTTGTGTTGAAATTTTAATGCACATTGTATTCCCATTTTTTTCCTACTTTGGCCCTCGATGGCTCGCCGCCGTTTCCTACTTTCAAAAAAGTTTAAAAACATACTTGCGGCGCACCTATGCAGTGCGCCGTGCTCTCATGGGTAATGTGCGCGCACTGCGCACGCATGGGCAGTGTGCTGCCCTTTTCTTTGTGTGTGTAGCGCCAACAGGAAGGGGAAAAAAACACAACACGTTCTGCTTTTGGTGTGCCACGATGCCCTTCTGCTGACACAATCGGACCGAACAAAACGTCCGTATCAACTGACACAATGGATTCGTCATGCAGGGCGTCTTGTTCGGCCCGATAGGCCCGTTGCCTTTCCTTTTCTTTTTCTTTTTCTGTGTAATGTCAATGGCCGATTGGTGAACACACCCATTCTGAGCTCAACGTATAGAACCACACTGCAGCCAGACCTGGATGTATTTGACCGTAATTACGTCCAGGGAAAAGTAAAGAAGTCCTGATGTGAGCGAGGCCCTGTAACGTGCATGTGTAGTTGAGCGAGGCCTTATAACGCGCATCCACCATTTGTCGTCATTTCAACACCTCGTGGGTGTACCAATTGGATAGGCCGACAGATTCAGACACCCTGAGACAACACTGATGGCGGCGGGATCTTTTCATGTTCTTGCTGAAATTCATTTTGCTTGTTTGGTGAGAGTGATGGAGCGAGAGGCCCTTATCTGTGGCCGATGTAGTCCGATATGACCCGCCCTCACCACGGATTCTAGCGGCAGGTAACTCATAATAGCCCCACTGTACTTGAAAAGACAGCAATATCGCGGGTGTATCTTCCCACGTTCTAGATTTAGTTTCGATGCATTCTTATTTTGCATGCACAACCCGCCCTCAGGAAAGTTCTCGTTCTCCTTTCTTTTTTCTCTCAGCGAAAACACCACGGGAACTACAACTGTGAGTTATGTTTGTTCCATGAGAAAAGTACTTGTGCCCAAAGTTCCCAAACGGAATGCATATTTATTTCAATCCAAGTCCGACTCGGTGTAACCTGGTAGGAGTGACGTTTCAGGCTGGGCAGTCCAGGGGGTTGGTTCTCTGACTAAGGCTCGACCAAAGGTTTGACCAGTTTTTTTTCCCCCTTTTTGTTTGAAGTGGGCAGCCCTGAGCTCTATCGAATCCGATCAGGATTTGAAATTTGGAGTCGTTAACCTTGTGATCTGACAATCTGTTCATTAACAGGTGTGCACATCCCACCATAAAGACAGGAGGTACAGGTTTGACCAACTGTGGCTTGTTTGCTGCGTGGAAATCAAATTTGTCGAGTAATGGGTGTCAAACATACTTGCAAGCAGACGGACCGGATGAGCGTCCGGTCCGGTCCGCTTTGCCGCGTGCGGCACCCTCCCCCCGGACCAGACGGACCCAGACCGGACCGGACAGGGCGTTTTTTTTTTTTTTTTTTTTTGGGGGGGGGCGTTCGTCGGGCGCACATTCGTGTGCAGCGCGGGTCCGGTCGGGGAACCGCCTGGACGGCGTCCGCTTGCAAGTATGGTGTCAAAATGATTCGGATATAAAATTTGTGATCCCATACTTTCTCATTCTGACCTATGTGTCCCGACCTTGCAGCTCAGCAGACAATTTGTTGATTAATGGGTGTCAAAATGATTTGGAAATCTATTTCCCGACCTTGCAGCTAAGCAGACACTTTGCTGCGTGGAAATCGACACAAAGTGTCTGCTGAGCTGCAAGGTCGGGAAATCAATACTTTAGCTACATGTCCGTTGGGTTGGAGAGATCGGCAATGAAGAGAAGAGGTGGAAGAAGCCGCAAAGCGAAGCTGATGAATGGCTTCCCGCGCCCACAAACAAGGCTAAGGTTTTGGGGTGCAAGCTTGCATGACGGGGAAGTGTCACGTGTGGTTCTCAGGGAAGGCGTTTTGCACTGACCCCTATCCGACATCATGATATCTGTATTTTCTTGATGGTGATTCTGATCTTTATGTTATGGATGTTGGTTCGTGTTTCATGGCATTGTCACTGTAAGAAAAACCCAAGCATTTTTCCAGTCTTTAAAATTTTATCATATTTTCGAGTTTAGTAGTTTTGGTGTTGTGCAATAAATTATCGAGGTACACACAGTGCATGGAGCTCATGCAGTGCACTATACAAGTGCATGACAAGCATGCTCAGCTGGCCAGTCGGTTTCTTGCGGTCCCTTGCAAAAATCTGTTCATTAAATTTTGTTTCTGAAATCCGAAATCGCGATCCCTTTTCTTTTTTGTTGATCCCTTTGCCCTGTATCATCCAATGGAAATTCGACATCTTATTTCAAACGGGTAGTAAACTTGAAAAACCGACTGAGAGGAACACACTTGCACCCTCCTGACAGATTTGGTAGGAATCATGGTGCATGATTTCAGACCAAGGTGGGTTTTCTTAGGTAACAAAGCAGGCGTGTCGCAATAAGGTGGTGTGTGTGACAATTGGGTGTTATGGTTGCCATTTTGGTGCCCAGCTCTTGATGGAGATTAAGGCATATGAAGATTGGCTGAACGAGAAGGTGGAGGAACAGAATAGGTGAGACCAGAGTTCTCAGTGTGTCCCGCCCTTTCCTCTCTCTCTCTCTCTCTCTCTCTCTCTCTCTCTCTCTCTCTCTCTCTCTC